GAGGACCTGCGCGGCCGAGACAACTTCATCATGAAGGAAATCCGCGTCGACACCATGAAGAGGAACGTGGAGCTGCTCGACCGCCTCACCACGCAGCTGCAGGACGCCAAGGCCGAGCTGCAGGTCAGGCCGTGCGGGGGGCGGGTCCAGGGCGCGAGCCGAGGCCTTGAGTCACACACACACACACACACACACACACACACACACACACACACACACACACACACACACACACACACACACACACACACACACACACACATACACATACACACACACACACATACACACACACACACACACACACACACACACACACACACACACACACACACACACACACACACACACACACACACACACACACACTACACACACACACACTACACACACACATACTTACACACACACACACACATACACACACACACACACACACACACACACACACACACACACACACACACACACACTCACACACGCACAGACACACACACACATGTGGGTGTGGGTGTGCACGCGTTATGCATGTGTTTACAGAGACCACGTGTATGCCTATTTGTCCCCCACTTTCCAAACTCGAATTCAGCAAAGGCACGCGAGTTCTCGGAGCACACTTGTGCTCGGAGATTCTCGGGAGAGAGTTATGACTCACAGCCGATTCAAGCATTCGTAATTACATATGTTGCATATCCTCGCTTGACGCTGCAACCACGTACATGCCCATGTCTTTGATTTATTATATTAACACGTGTCCTACTTAATTTAGTGATAAGTAAAGGTTAAGAAATGGAGTATAGGTATGTACACACGTGCCGAGTGACACATGTGAGTTTTATGTTAATAGTACTAATGCGTTGAGAAATCGCACATGGCAACAATTTTAAAAGAATAATACTCTTGCATTTATACATTTCATATTTTAATGTCAGAGATTAGAGTAGAATAATAATCGTAAAATATTAGCTCCGTTTCCCCTGTAATGTTTACAAAACATATGCAACCAGAAGGTAAAACTAACAGTATTTGACCAAAAATATACAATACTTTCACCGAATTTAGTGTCCAAACTGCTTATAATTTCATATAAAGCAATACCTTCTGAGCTGTTTTATGGCAGCACCACGAGAACAGACACACACACGCACACACTCGAATGTTTTGCCATTATATCTGTTATCCTGTGAATCGGAAGGAATTAGAATAATCAAATGTATACGCTGCAAATATTATTGCATTTCGTGACCCGTGTGTGTCATGGGATTATTGCATCATCACTTCCACTTAGATATCGAGTGCAGTGTAGTTATCACGTTGTACTTCAGACAACAAATTCAGTTGCAAAAGATCTACAAAATGGCACTTTGGCATAACAACGCATTATTACTTTTTTTGTGAAAACTCTTAGCGATCTATAATAACCACATAGTCACTACAGTTATGCATTAATGTTAGGCTAAGTAGATAAAAGTACTATAAAACTGAATATATGAAAGTATAATTACTTCATGCATTAAGTTTAACACAAGTACAGTGGTAACGTATTGCGAATTAGTATTCGCTATTTACTAATATCATCACTATTTCCATTAATATCATCATCACCATCATCGTTTTCCTCCTCCTCCTCCTCATCATCATCATCATCACCATCATCTCCGTCTCCATCACCATGACTATAACATCATCATCAATCATTATCACCACCACCACCTCCTCCTCATTACCATCCCTTTTAATATCCTTTTTCTTTCTTCTACAGGGCATTAACGAGGAGCAGAGTCTGCTGAGCTGGGAGATGACCAAATTCCCGCTCCTGCAGGCGATGGTGGCACAGAAGGAGCCGTATGACAAGCTGTGGCACACCACCTACGATTTCCACCAGAAGTATGAGCAGTGGTATAACGGTGAGAGCATACTAGGTGTCGGTTCGGTTTTGTGGCCGTGGGATCTGGTTTGGTCCTTTTTTCTCTGTCTGTCTGTCTGTCTGTCTGTCTGTCTGTCTGTCTGTTTCTCTTTCTCTCTTTCTTTATTTTCGTCTCTCTCTCTCTCTCTCTCTCTCTCTCTCTCTCTCTCTCTCTCCTCTCTCTCTCTCTCTCTCCTCTCTAGACAGACAGAAACGGAAACAGAGAAAGCACACAAACAAGTGACACGAAAACAGCAACATAATCTTAAACAAATAAATAGATAAACAAATAATTGAAATAAGACCGAATGATCATTATTTCTTTTTCCTCTTCCTCCCTCCCTCCCCCCACGCCCCTTTCCTCCAGGTCCCTTCGCCGGGCTGGACGCGGAGGCCATCAACGAGGAGGTGGAGGCCATGTGGAAGACCATGTTCAAGCTCACCAAGACGTTCATGGACCAGGTGCTGTTATTTTTTTATTAGGGGATTAGTGATTGGGCGATTGAATATTTAAATTATTAACTGATTTGGTGATTAGGTGTTTGAATGTTTAAATTATTAACTGATTAGGGGATTAGGTGATTGGATATTTAAATTATTAACTATTTGGTGATTAGGTGATTGGATAATCAAATGATTACGGGATTAGGTGATTGAATGTTTAAATGATGAAGTGATTAGGTGATTAAAGATTTAGAGGATTGGATAATTAGGTGGTTAGAGGATTAGGTGATTAAATGATCAGGTGATTAGATATTTAAAGGAGTAGGTGATGAGATATTAAGATGATTAGGTAATTGGTGGATTGGGTGAGTCGATGATTGTGTTATTAGATATTTAGATGATTAGATATTTAAAGGATTGGATGATTATGTGGTTCGATGGTTAGGTGATTAGTAGACTACGTGAGCAGATAATTAAGTGATTAGATATCAAGGTGAATAGATAGATAGAGAGAGAGGGAGGGAGAGCGAGAGAGAGAGAGAGAGAGAGAGAGAGGGAGAGAGAGAGAGAGAGAGAGAGAGAGAGAGAGAGAGAGAGAGAAAGACAGACAGACAGACAGACAGAGAGAGAGAGAGCGAGAGAGCGAGAGAGAGAGAGAGAGAGAGAGAGCGAGAGAGAGAGAGAGAGAGAGAGGGAGAGAAAGAGAGAGAGAGAGAGCGATAAAATGAAAGAGAGGACGGAAAATAACGAGTATTTCCCTTCCCAGGTTGGCTCTCGTCGCGTGGCAGAGTACGTGAAAGAGCGTATCGAGAAATTCCGTCTTCACGTGCCGGTCTTGCAGTGCATTTGCAATCCCGGCTTGAGAGAGCGCCACTGGGACCAGGTACGTGGTGCGGAAACAGGTAGATTTTTTTTCTTCTTCGTGTTTGGTGTCAATAGATTTTTAGTCATGCTCGTTAGTTTATCGTCAAATGGCATTTCGTAATAAGCAGTCTTTTCCGAGGATCAGTCACTTGTGTCTAAGGATTGGCCACTTATTTCCAAGGATTAATCACTCTGTTCCCAGGATTAATCCCAGCTTTGCCTTGCTTTGCCCATCCAAGCACTCACTTTCCAGGATTAGTCACTTAATTCCGAGGATCACTCCCTCGCCCCCCCTCACGCCCCGGCCTATCCCCTGCAGCTGAGCGAGCACCTGGGGACGGAGCTGAACCTGGCGCCCGAGACGTCCCTGGGAGACATGATCGAGGCCGGCCTGCCCTCGGTGCAGAGGAAGCTGGAGGAGATCAGCCACGCGGCCTCCAAGGAGTTCAGCCTCGAGAAGGCCCTCGAGAAGATGAAGGGCGAGTGGGCCAACGTCGTGTTCGAGTTCAAGCCCTGGAGGTGGGCGCGAGGCCGGAGTCTCTCGTTATTTTAGTATCTTATTCCTTATTATTATTTCATTAGTTATTATTATTAAATTTTTTGTCTTTTTTATAAATGATTGTTATAAATTATTATAAAGTATGGTCACTATTGTTATTATTTGATTATTTCTCTTATTTATTTCTTGATTTTCTTATTTGTATGTTTATTTAATTGTTTATTTATTCACTTTTGTTTATTTATGATTTATTCCTGTTCATTTCGTATTTATTATTCATCTATATCTATTGATTTATTTTTATTTATTTTTATTCACTTATTTCTTTGTATTTATTTATTATTGAAATATTTATTTTTTATTAATTTTCTTTCTTTTTATATATTTTTTTCAAGGAAGCCTCAAAGTAAATATTTTGTTTTATATTGAATGATAGAACTGATTGTTAATTCATTGATATTCATATTTTTTTTCTTTCTGGCGTGAGTCAATGTTTGCTTTTTTGCTTTTATTATGTATGTGATTAGTTATTAATGAGGTTATTCATGTGTACTTTATTTATAATAAATCTTTATTTAGGTCTCATTGTTTGGTGAGGGAAGGTGAGCTAAAAGCCTTAAAAAATACGGATTGTAAGTAAACCTCACAAAAAATATCCCTTGAGATATTCGAAACCAATAAGAATTACCCTAAAAACCATCAAAACTTCCCCCAAAAGAAGGTCAAAAACTATAAGAATTGACCGAACAGCGATCAAAATCTCCCCGAAAATCCTCCCTTAAAAGTTCAAAACCTTTGAGAATTATCCTCAAAACGACCAAAATCTCCCCAAAGTCCGGAACCTTTATATAATAATGATGACAACAATAATAGAAATGGTAATGATAATAATGACAGTAATAACAACAATAATAAAGCACCCTCGCCTCGCCCCAGGGAGACGGGCGTGAGCATCCTGGCCGCCGTGGACGACATCCAGGTGCTGCTGGACGAGCACACGCAGAAGGTGCAGACGATGCGCGGCTCGCCCTACGTCAAGCCCTTCGAGGCCGAGATCCGCGCGTGGGAGGAGAAGCTGCTGTCCATGCAGGACATCCTCGACGCCTGGATCAAGGTCGGTGGCCGGGCGAGCGGGAGTCAGGGAGGGTGGAAGGAAAGCTTAACAGAGGTTCAAAAACATATCTTGATAGCAGATGATACTCACTAACTTCCTTGTGTTTGTCTCAGGTAAATTAAGTCATTAGAAATATGCTATTTCTTTCACTTCTTCGTTCATCCCATTGTTTCTTATGGTTTACGTTTCAAAAAGACTACATATATAAACCGATCTAACAACTACACAATAGAGCAGTGTCACACACACACACACACACACACACACACACACACACACACACACACACACACACACACACACACACACACACACACACACACACACACACACACACACACACACACACATAAATGTATATGTAAATAAATAAATAAATTATATATATATATATATATATATATATATATATATATATATATATATATATACATATATATATGTATATATATATATATATATATATATATATATATATATATATATATATATATATATATATATATATATATACATATATATACATATATATATATATATATATATATATATATATATATATATATATATATATATATATATATATATATATATATATATATATATATGTATATATATGTATATATATATATATATATATATATATATATATATATATATATGTATATATATATATATATATATATATATATATATATATATATATATATATATATATATTCATATAGATATTGTTCTTCTTTATTTTTGTGTTTCATTTTTTTCCTTATTGTATTTTAAATTCGGAGCACTAGCAGCAGTATCAAGGCGCATGCTGCTTGCTAAAACACGCACGTTCAAGAAATCAACCGTCATAATCACCATCATCACGTTATTATCATGACGCCGACCGCCCGCAGTGCCAAGTGACGTGGCTGTACCTGGAGCCGATCTTCTCGTCCGAAGACATCATGAAACAGATGCCTGTGGAAGGGCGCAAGTTCACCCGCGTCGACGCCACCTGGAGGGAGCTCATGGGCACGGCGGTGAAGGACCCTCACGCCCTCGTCGCCACGGAGCAGCCGAACATGTTGCCGAGGTCAGTTGAGGGGCGTGGCGGGGGGAGGGGGCGTGGCGGGGGGAGGGGGCGTGGCGGGTTGACGACTCATAATGTGGTAAAAAAATAAATTGATGATTAATTTAGTTTTTGTGTATTATCACGCTAAGGGAATAAATGGTATAGATCATTTGCAAGATAACAGTGCTCATTCAGTGCCACCGCGTTGTTAACCCTGCAGGATATTGCATCTAAATTACATGCATTATATAACCCTACAAAAACGTCTAATTTTATATCAATCCTCCAAGATGTTCAGTATAGCATGAACGCGTTCTGAAATCTTAAAATATAATGAAACCCTTGCATTTACTGAAAAAAAAGCAGGGCCTTGTTTAAGTACAGTATGCCATGTATCAAAATTGCTTTCGCAGATTGCACGAATGCAACCGCTTGCTGGAGGAGATACAAAAAGGACTCAATGATTACTTGGAGAAAAAGCGCCTGTTCTTCCCAAGGTAAAGTAATAAGAATTTATACTTCAAGTCTAGACAAAAAAAAGAATACTCTTGATTTCAACGGAGGATGCATCGCCCGGTGAATCGTGGTTGTAATGACGTTTATTCGAGTAGATTAATTTTTTGTCGAGGTCTCGGTGATTCTTGTGTCGTCAGGACAGAATGGAAGCTTGCTCCTGCAGAATTTTCATAACAGGGAATTTATAATTTTCCTGTTTTTACTAATATATTACCTTTTCTTTTTGCAGGTTCTTCCAGTCACACCAATAGTCTCATTCATTATTCTATATTTATCTACACGCATTGCCATTCCTGTTATAACTAGAATTTCTTTATTCTTGCAGACTCATCTTCCTCTCATGACTATCGCCCCTCTCACTCTACCAAGTTTTCCTTCCTGTCATGGCAGTCATCCTAGTAATTAACCAGTCATTCCCTTTCATGACTTGACAATCAATTTTGCAGATTCTACTTCCCTTCACCTAACAATCCCTGTCATTCTTGCAGAATCTTCTTCATTTCACCCAATCACCCCCCGATCATTCCTTTCACTTATTTCCTTGGCATTCTTGCATATCCTCCATTCTCCACGTCCCTTCACCCAATAATCCTTGTCATTCTTGCATATCCTCCCTCCCTTCACCCAGTCACCCCTGTCTCTCCTCTACATTTCCCTCCCTCTCACCCAACCGCCCTCGTCCTCCTCGCAGATTCTTCTTCCTGTCCAACGACGAGCTGCTGGAGATCCTGTCCGAGACGAAGGACCCCCAGCGCGTGCAGCCTCACCTCAAGAAGTGCTTCGAGGGCATCAGTTCCCTGCACTTCTCGCCGCAGCAGGAGATCGAGGGCATGATCTCCGCAGAAGGGGAGCTCGTCCAGTTCAGCAACCGGGTCATTCCTGCCAAAGCGCGGGTGAGGAAGAGGAATGTCTTTTTGAAAGTTTTTTTTTTACGTTTTTTTCTGTTCTTCCTTATCGTAATGTCTTTTCTATTTGTCTGTTTGTTTGTTCTTGCCATTTTTGTTATCATTCATCTCACGTAAATTAAAATGGGTTGAGAGTATCCAAAAAGCATCATGTTATCTCTCCATATCATAGGACGAAACTAGATCTACGTAGTTTTTGCATTATGAAAAAAAATCGCTGAAGTGGATTTCTCTCCTCTCCCCCAACAGGGCCTGGTGGAGAGGTGGCTGGTGGAGGTGCAGGAGATGATGGTCCAGAGCGTGCAGGACGTGACCATCCGCGCCGTCGAGAACCACCCACTCTCGGCCCACCAGCAGTGGATCACGCAGTGGCCCTCGCAGGTGGTGCTCACGGTGGCGCAGATCGTGTGGACGAGCGAGATCACCAACCTGCTTCCCAAGGGAGGGCTCAAGGTAGGCCGGCGCGTCGGGAGGGCGGAGTGGCTGCTCTGGTTGTTCCTCTGTGGTTGGGGGGTCTTGTTCGAATTTGCTCTCTCTGTCTTTTTTTTTTTATTTGTCTTTGTCTTTATTTTTCTTCTTTCTTCCTCTCTCTCTCTCTCTCTCTCTCTCTCTCTCTCTCTCTCTCTCTCTCTCTCTCTCTCTCTCTCTCTCTCTCTCTCTCTCTCTCTCTCTCTCTCTCTCTCTTTCTCAATTCCCTCTCCTTTATCTTATATCAGTTTTTCTTTTTTCCTTTGTCATCGTTTCGTTTCGTTACCACAATTCCATCGGGATATACGATAACAATATACAATAAATTTCGTCGTTTACGCCAGGGTTACTTGGACGTGTGCAACACCCGCGTGGACGAAGTCGTGGCCATGGTGCGCGGGAAGCTCGAACACGGCACTCGCCTCACGCTCGGCTCGCTCATCGTTACCTACGTCCATGGTGCGTCGGCGATAAGGCGTTTATTCGACGTTATTATACTAAGCTCGTTCGCATTCATATATATATATATATATATATATATATATATATATATATATATATATATATATATATATATATATATATATATGTATGTATATATATATATATATATATATATATATATATATATATATATATATATATATATATGTACATATATATATATATATATATATATATATATATATATATATATATATATATATATATATATATGTATATATATATATATATATATATATATATATATATATATATATATATATATATATATATATGTGCGTGTGCGTGTGTGTATGTGTGTGTGTGTGTATATATATGTATGTTTGTATATATATATATATATATATATATATATATATATATATATATATATATATATATATATATATATATATATATGTATATATATATATATATATATATATATATATATATATTACAGTAAACTTATACTTATAGATTTATCTATTAGAGCAGCTTTACCTGTATCAGTATAGCTTTCTAAGTATATGGTCAACGAATGATTATATAATATTACGTGTAGGATTGATGTTGAAACAAAATGTTAACAAAATATAACAAAACAACAAAGTGACGACCAAGAAAACACACCTCTGTGTTTTCTTGTTCTTCCCTTCGTTTTTTTTATTGACACACAATATCACATATATCACCAACTACGCACTCGCGCATCTCAACAGGGCGCGACGTCGTCCAGGAGCTGATCAGGAAAAACGTTTCGTGCGACAAGGACTTCTCGTGGGTGGCTCAGCTGCGGTACTACTGGGTTAACGAACTCGTGCAGGTGGACATGATCACGACGCGCCTCCAGTACGGCTACGAGTACCTGGGCAACACCTCCAGGCTGGTCGTCACTCCCCTCACCGAGCGCTGTTTCAGGTGGCTGCACTTTTTCTTTGTTTATCTAGTTATTTACTTTATTTTATTTTATCTTATTTATTTATTTTATTTATTTACATATTTATTTATTTATTTATTTATTTATTTATTTATTTTTGAGTGGAAGAGAGACTTAGAGATAGGTGTGTTTTTGTTTGTTTGTTTGTTTGATTAATTGTCTGTGGTGGAGCTCAATGGATTTTGTTTTGTGATTTCATTATGTTTGATGGAAAGAAAGAAAAAATCTATTCTTCACTTAATATACAATAATTAGAACCCGACATGTTACAGATACTGAAACATTTACTATCTCAACAAAAGAAATCTTTATCCACAAACAACCACCTCGTAAAGTCACACACAACCATACCCGCACATCCAGACATGCCACACACAGGTTCATAATGAGACCCGTCCTTCAAGAAATAACAAACAAATAGATAAAAAATCCTGTTCCCCGCCCCCAGGACTCTCATGGGCGCCCTCAACATGCACCTGGGCGGAGCTCCTGAAGGCCCGGCGGGCACGGGCAAGACGGAGACGTGCAAGGACCTGGCCAAAGCAGTGGCCAAGCAGTGCATCATTTTCAACTGCTCGGAAGGATTGGACTACAAGGCAATGGCCAAGTTCTTCAAGGTCTGTGTTTTGCGTTCGTTTAGTTATCTTTTATTGTCTGTCTGTCTGTTCATCTATCTATCTTGATATCATGTCCATTCCCCCGGTCCGTACTCAAGGAAATGCCCAGTCTCTGTCTTTATTCTACGAACGTGCCCATTTCTCTGCCTACACTCAAATAACACACCCATCCCCCTCCGCCCATTCGCCGCCCACACATCCATCCTTTCCTACACCCACACCCTTTCACTCCTCCCGCCCACACCCTTTTCCTCCCCCCACCCACACCAATCCTCCTCCGTCCCCTCCGTTGTTCCATCCCTCCCCCACCCCCACCCCTCCCCCACACTGAAACCAACCGCCCTCATCCCTCGCAGGGTCTGGCGCAGAGCGGGGCGTGGGCGTGCTTCGACGAGTTCAACCGCATGGAGCTGGAGGTGCTGTCCGTGGTGGGCCAGCAGATCCTGACCATCCAGGCAGCCGTGGCCAGGAGGGCGCAGCGCTTCATCTTCGAGGGCGTCGACCTCGTGCTCAACAGGACGTGCAACATCTTCATTACGATGAATCCCTCGTGAGTTGGGCCGGGGGGGGGGGGAGGAGGGGATGGGGAGGGGAGGGTTCTCTTGGAGTTTGGTTGGTTTGTGTTTGTGGTATTTATATGTTTTTTTATTGTTTTCGTTTGCTTTATTTTGTTATTGTTATTGTTTTTTATTGTTTTGTTTTTATTTTTGTTTTTGTTGTTTTGTATTTATTTATTTTTGTTTTTGTTTGTTATTTTTTTACTGTTTTTGTCTGGTTATTGATTCATTTTTTGTTTGTTTTTTTATTGTTTTTGTTAGTATTTTTGTTTTTTGTTTTGTCATTGCTTTTGTTTGTTTTAATTTTTATATTGTTTTTATATTCCGTTATTTGTTTTTGTTATTGTTTTTTATTTGTTGTTATGTTATTGATATTCATTTTGTTTGTTCTGTTTTTTTATGTTTGCTTTATTTTTTACGTAGGTTACGTTTTTCTTATGAGGTGATAGATTGTAAATACCATGTGAACCATGTTGCCTGCCAGTGTGATCATCCGTTCCATAAATATTATCTCTTTCACCTTTCGTGTTTATAGTTGCGGGTAGATTGTCAATCTTATGTTGTATGTTGCATGTTCAAGCAACTTGTATGTCGTATGTTGCATGATTTTCATAGATGAACTGTCTGTCTATTTAGATATATGCTATAGATGTCACTTTTTCAAGAAAATGTCTATTTGAATGGGTCTTGGCACCTGGTTATTCCGTATGAGAAATAGGATTTTGATAATTCAATATTTCTAATTTTCAGATCGAATTGCATAAATCTGCGCGTGTAACACAAACACTTTCATTTCACAAATAATTAATCACTGATTAAACTGATAAGTGTAGAACTTTATTTGTTCTGGGTATCTGTTCGTGTTCTGTCCCTCTCTCCTTTTGTGGATACCATTTAAATATCTTCAATAATACGCCTTAAGTCTCACGATCACTAATACTATTCATCGATGTTCTTCAAAGTCATCCCTTCAAGGTAAAGAATATTCGTACTTAATTCTTACCTGTGGCTGAGAGTCACTCTAATACTTTCCCTTTGGTTTCTATGTGTGTAGAGTTTTTCGCTCTTTGTCTGTCTTTCCTCTGTCTCCTGAAATAACATGTGTTACTGTCGTTATTTGGAAAATATGAGTATTTGTTTACGTGAGATACTATTAGGGATATGTATAGTTATATTTACTTAGACAGGAGCGTTATGGATATAAAACTTGAGGAAGCAGATACATACACATATACATACACATACGCATACACATACACATACACATACACATACACATACACATACACATACACATACACATACACATACACACACACACACACACACACACACACACACACACACACACACACACACACACACACACACACACACACACACGCACACACACACACACGCACACACACACACACGCACACACACACACACACACACACACACACACACACACACACACACACACACACACACACACACACACACATATGCACATACACACACACACACACACATACACACAGGAGATTCACACCAACTATTATGCCACAAACCCCAATTTATAGGAATTCCGAGCAGTGCAGTCAAGAAACCATAGGACAGGACTCGACGCCAGTTTGGGCACGCAGGTAAGGAGGGAGCGGGGGAAGGAGGGAGGAGGGGGGGAGGGGGAGATGCCCGATGCGAGATCCCTCTCATCTCCCGCCCTCAGCAGCATCACCAACCTGCTTCTTCATTGCGAAAGCTGTAGTTTTAAGATCTAGAATCAGGCTTTAATTTTTATTTTTACATTTTTTTTACATACGATTATTCGTGTGTGTGTGTCTTTTTTTTTCCTCTTTTTAAGGAACAGATTTTTCAAATGGAAATTTTTCATATATATATTTTTTTTTTTTTGTTCATTTACTTGATAAAAGCCAAATTAAAATGGCCAAACATACTGTTGTAACCTTTGTGTATATGAACACGTACATACACAAATACACACATCCTCATACGCACATTCACATACACCCTTAAGTACACACGCTTACACTCATATGATAATATTCACGCAGGTCTTTAAATTTCTAATCTAACCAAACCTTAGATAGATAACTTGTAGTCTGCAGTCTATCATTTCCAGAGAGAAATTTCTTGCTAATTACCCTCCACAGAAACCTCTTTAAATTCTCAAAAAAAGGCTGTCTTTAGTTTTGGTGAGATTAGACCCTAGGCTTTGTAGAAGAAAGTACCTCATCGTGGAAAGTTCTGATGAATGAATGATAGAAATCGTAGAAGTAGCCATAGGTGAAGTACAGTAGCAGCAGTAGTAGTAGTAATAGTAGCAGTAATAATAATTGTAGTAGGAAAAGTAGAAGTAGTAGTAGTAGTACTAGTAGTAATAGTAGTAGTAGTAGTACTAGTAGTACTAGTAGTAATAGTAGTAGTAGTACTAGTAGTAATAGTAGTAGTAGTAGTAGTACTAGTAGTAATAGTAGTAGTAGTAGTAGTAGTAGTAGTAGTAGTAGTAGTACTAGTAGTAGTAGTAGTAGTAGTAATAGTAGTACTAGTAGTAGTATAGTAGTTGTATTATTAGTAGTAATAGTACTTCTTTTGCTACCAGCAGTAGGAGTATTGATAGGAGGAGTATAGTTTTGGTAGCAGTCGTACAGTAGTGTCAGCAGAAAGTATAGTAATAGTCAAGTAGTTCCTGACCCTGACAGCTGCAGCGAGACCTGCGAATCTCCCTTAATCGTCTCGCACCTGAGCTTGAACACATAAACCGCAGATTTAACGCCTCGTATCAGAAGCGCCGAGACGGGAGCTGACTCTAAACTTGTTCTTATTATCTATTAATAACGAAAAGGAGCTCCAGAGACGGCCGAGAATGAATATAATGTATAAAATTCTACGATTTCTTAATAGTCCAGCGACAGGACAGTACGCAAGGTCAGCTGGTAATAAATAAACATCTGCGTCACTACAGGAAGTGGACTCAGAAGCAGTGTTTCTTTTAATAGAAAATAGCATTAAGTATGTTATCTATAAATCATGAACTTTACCAGATTTGTGTTTAAAAAGTTATAACGTTAATTACATATTTCATCATGAAATTGACAAGATTTGTGTTTAATTCATTGGGTCGGGCTGGTATGATGTGATAAGCATGCCATGTCCACTGTGATTTTAGTTTATCGATTTTGTTTACACATACATAGCTCCTATCTCCTAGCTCCTGTTTACCCTTTTCCTAAATTTTCAAAAGAAAATCGTATATTTATGTTTTTTAGCATTTTATCAACAATATAACATTTAGAATGTCAATAATAATAATGATAATAATAATAATAATAATAATAATAATAATAATAATAATGATGATGATGATAATAATGACAATAGTGATAATGATAATAACGATATCAGTAGCAATAGCATTAGAAAAAAAACGAAAATTCAAGAAATGGGGAAATCAGGTGAGGTCAAGTAATGCCTACCAATTGACTCCTTCGTGGCTGAATACTTGTGAAGTCATCTATGTGCAACAAAATTCACAAAAGAAAACTACAGTGGACAGTATATGTACCCGACGCCAATGAGTGTGTATATATATTATATATTACATATATATATATATATATATATATATATATATATATATATATATATATATATATATATATAAACACTCGCACAGTGTATCTCCATATACACATCCATACATATGAAATATATATAATTTGTCATATGAAATAGCACTTTCCGTATCTCAACCGCAAATCAGATTTCTAAAATGAAGTCAAAATCCAGAAGCCATATCCTTCGCCGCAATAAACTCCTGCCGTGACTCCGCAGTTACATGGGGCGTCGCGAGCTGCCTGACAACCTGAAGGTGCTCTTCCGGACGGTGGCCATGATGGTGCCGGATTACGTCCTCATCGCCAAGATCTCGCTCTTCTCCTTGGGCTTCGTGCAGGCCGACAGGTGGGGCGCGTGCAGGGTCCTGGTGTGTGTGTGTGTGTGTGTGTGTGTGTGTGTGTGTGTGTGTGTGTGTGTGTGTGTGTGTGTGAGAGAGAGAGAGTGTCAGCGTCGGTCCGTCTGTCTGTTGGCTTGTAAGTGCGAGTCTGTATTACTAATTTTTAACCTTAATTCGACTACCATCACTTAGGCAATTCAATTGTTCTTGTAGGCCTATTACCTCACTTTATAAAAGCAATAACAATGATGACAATAAATACAGCACAAGATACGAACAGACGAAAAACGATGTTACACCAGTGATTATACAGTTCCATAAATATGAACTTGACGAATAACTTCAAATCTTCAACAGCCAAGACCCAAATAACGAAAACTTCCCTCATTCTATTCCCCAGTCTAGCGAGGAAGATCATAGACACGTACAGGCTTTGCTCGGAACAGCTGTCGTCTCAGCATCACTACGACTACGGCATGAGGGCGGTCAAGGCCGTGTTGCTGGCAGCTGCGAACCTCAAGCTGCTTATGCCTGACCTGCCGGAGTCCCAGGTCGTCCTCAGGGCCATTCAGGATGTCAATCTCCCGAAATTCCTTGCTCAGGTATTTAGCGTTGTCCTTGTAACGACTTGCTGATATTTAGAACTTTTTATAGTGTTTCGTGTGTTTCTTTTTTATGATTACACTTTTACTATGTGTGCTATTCTATGAATCACCTAAATTTTAATTATCTGAGGACAAAAGAGTGAAATGATTTAGTAGCAATAGAAGCGGGCGTCATCCTAAATATTATTCATGTTATCTTAGAGTATGATATGGATTAAACCTATTATTATTATAAAAAATAGAACTTCCATATTAATTAGACAGGAGCGATACCACTTAAAGCAAAGCCTTGAAAAAAACAACACGTGAAAGTGATTATTATAGAAATTAAAAAAAAAAGGTAAAAATAGAAAACAGATCAATGTACAGCGGAAAATCAAGCCTTTTCAACATTCTTTATTTAATTCTTGTTTCTATCCGCATTTTATACGAAAGATTAATGCTTCTAATAATGCCGACGTTGCAGGATATCCCTCTGTTCGAAGGCATTGTACAGGACTTGTTTCCCTCTGAGAAGGACGGCGAGATCACGACGGATCCAGCGCTGGAGGCTGCGCTCAAGAACACCTTGGCGGAGAATAACTTACAGGTAGGCCTATTTTTTGTGTATTTTTGGTGTGAATGCGTTTTCTCTCTCTACGACGCGTGGGATTTTTGTTGTTTATTTGTTGTTGTTGTTTTGTAATAGTTTTCAGTCAATTTGTTAAGGTGTTTTGCGATGGACAGAATTAAGTAATATTTGATTATATTTCGTTCAGTCTCGGGAAAGGAAAAAAATGGCAACTGAGATTAGATTCTGGAGGATTTCGATTCACCAATTCTTAAAAAATAGGTGAATACATAAACAAAGTGCTGTAAAAAATGAATATAAAAAAGTTTTAACATTACAAAACTTTTGTAAACGTGAGTATTAAGTGTCAGTTTATCAAAAAAGAAAGAGAGAAACAAAGAAAGAAAAAAGGAAGGTGAATCGCAGTGTTCTCCTATAAACGAGGATCCACATCGTATGGAATCGTACATATCCACACGCGACGAAATCCATCACCATCTCTCTTCTGTTCAATATTCATTGCGTCAAAATCCATCAGCTTTTTTTCATCACAAATCGAAACATCTACCTATCTATCAATCTATCTATCTATCTATCTATCTATCTATCTATCTACCTACCTATCCATCTATCTATCTATCTATCTATCTATCTATCTATCTATCTATCTATCTATCTATCTATCTATCTATCTATCTATCTATCTATCTATCTATCTATCTATCTATCTATCTATCTATCTATCTATCTATCTATCTATCTATCTATCTATCTATCTATCTATCTATCTATCTATCTATCTATCTATCTATCTATCTATCTATCTATCTATCTATCTATCTATCTATCTATCTATCTATCTATCTATCTATCTATCTATCTATCTATCTATCTATCTATCTATCTATCTATCTATCTATCTATCTATCTATCTATCTATCTATCTATCTATCTATCTATCTATCTATCTATCTATCTATCTATCTATCTATCTATCTATCTATCTATCTATCTATCTATCTATCTATCTATCTATCTATCTATCTATCTATCTATCTATCTATCTATCTATCTATCTATCTATCTATCTATCTATCTATCTATCTATCTATCTATCTATCTATCTATCTATCTATCTATCTATCTATCTATCTATCTATCTATCTATCTATCTATCTATCTATCTATCTATCTATCTATCTATCTATCTATCTATCTATCTATCTATCTATCTATCTATCTATCTATCTATCTATCTATCTATCTATCTATCTATCTATCTATCTATCTATCTATCTATCTATCTATCTATCTATCTATCTATCTATCTATCTATCTATCTATCTATCTATCTATCTATCTATCTATCTATCTATCTATCTATCTATCTATCTATCTATCTATCTATCTATCTATCTATCTATCTATCTATCTATCTATCTATCTATCTATCTATCTATCTATCTATCTATCTATCTATCTATCTATCTATCTATCTATCTATCTATCTATCTATCTATCTATCTATCTATCTATCTATCTATCTATCTATCTATCTATCTACCTATCTATCAATCTATCTATTTACCTATCCATCTATCTATCTATCTACCTACCTATCCATCTATCTATCTATCTATCTATCTGTCTATCTATTTATCTACATACTTATCTATCTATTTATTCCTTTTCTCTCCCAGGACGTCCCTTACTTCCGCGAGAAGATGATCCAGCTGTTCAACATGATCCTCGTCCGCCACGGGGTCATGATCGTGGGAGAGCCTCTGAGTGGCAAGACGAAGGTGTACCAGGTAAGTGTGTCTCGGCAGAAGGGGCGCAGTGAGGGAGGAATACTGACTTGGGAGAAATGGGTATTGACAGATGCGATAGTTTTTTTTCGAGATTGTGGTGTCTTAAGGGGCGTGGGGGATACATTGGGTGTGTTTTTTTCAGGGATTGTTTTTATAAGATTGTTAGATTTTGGAGTAAAATGTTTTGTTTCTTTCGTAAGAAGATCAGAGGGTCCATTTTTTTCGTGTGGAGGAAAATGTACTGGAGCTAAATGGACTGCTTAAATAACCGTAGGTCGGCTTGTATTTACATTTTGTCTGTCATATGGTATGGGAATTTCTTTATTGTAATCCTGAGAATTTTTAAAGCAAAATTGATTTTTGAATTATACAGAGTTTCTATTAATGGGCCTTGATCATTTACGATACATCTTCATGAATATTCCCGGTTTCGAAAATGTTTTGCTTGCTGTAGATATTTGTGTGATTACGTGTATGTTGTGTACTAGTAGATACTCTAACTTTTGACTGTCATTAGATAATTTTGTAAGTAGACTTTACAGTAAGTATTACGTGAAAAAAAATTGTATTATATTTTTTGTACATGTCTGTAGCAGGTGATTTTCTCAACATGACGACAGAAAATGCAGTTGACTTCTACCACTATAGTTTGTCCATGTGTAATGTTGATAGAACTTATGAACCATAATTGCACATATTTTCATGTTTGATAGAGTGCATGTCAGATTGCATTTGATTTATATTAGGATCTAATACAAAGAGAATATGTAGATTAACTTGTAAATCCTAATCTACATAATGAATGGAAAGACACCTGAGGATATGGAAGGGAAAGAAGCGGCACACAGGTACGTAGGAACACTTACGGTCGAAAATCCTGCTTCATCGGCGTATTTTCTCGATATTTCGACTCAAGCAGCTTTGATCCCGTGACGTCATGTTTCTGAATTCTGCCGCTAAATGCTCCCTTTTTTTCTATTGGTACTGTAATCAGGAGTTGATAATTTTGATAGTGCGCCGTCACTTTAAAAATGATAAAAAATAAATCGATAAATAATGACTCTAAAGGCAGTTGGATTATATTGGCGACTTAGAAACTTCGCAAAGATATATCCATACAAAATCCTCGATCTGCACAAGGGTACATACAGCAGGATTTAGGGCACATATGGCAGGGTTTTCGACCGTGAATGCACTTTACAATAACGATAAGAAAAAAAAGAGTCATCAAAGGAATTAATTAATAAGAAGATAAGGGTCTATGATCGCAAGCAATTAAAAAACTTAATAAAAGATAGGAAAAGCAAGGCAAACATGCAAGCTAGTTCAAGTTATAGTTACAGAAAGCAAAAGCAGTTCCACGGCGAGGCGAAGGAGCGACGCTAAAGATTACAAGGAACCGGCGAGGGAAATAGGGAAGGCCGGCTGAGAGGAGATAATGACATTTCAGTTTTATGCTGCGCTAGAAGGGATTCTTAGTGTGTTGATGTTAGTTTTAGTGTAAGCATTATTAGTAATAAATGTCTTTATTATCAGTAAGGTATAATCAAATTGCTCTTTACACACACACACACACACACACACACGCACACGCACACGCACACGAACAAAAAATATATATATATATACATATATATATATATATATATATATATATATATATATATATATATATATATATATATTAGAAAATATATGTATATGATATAGATATATATATACATATATGCATATATGCATATATATGTATATATGTATATTTAGATATATATAAATATATACATACACATATAGACACACACATATAAGTGTGTGTGTGTGTGCATGGTACACTCTTCCGTATTGATACTATGGTGGAAAATCCCACAGTGCAATGCAATAAATCTTGCATTGTAGGTTTCTGATATATATATATATATATATATATATATATATATATATATATATATATATATATATATATATCTCCATATATATATATATATATATATAAATATATATATATATATATATATATATATATATATATATATATATATATATATATATATCCATATATATATATATATCCATATATAAATATAATATAAATATATATATATATATATATATATATATAATATATATATATATATATATATATATATATATATATATATATATATATATATATATATATGTATGTATGTATATACATATATAAATATATCCATGTATGCAATGCAATAAATCTTGCATTGTAGGTTTCTAATATATATATATATATATATATATATATATATATATATATATATATATATATATATATATATATGTATGTGCGCGAGCGCACGCGTGTGTGTATATATATTAATAGACATACATACATACATACCCGTGTTCAATCATCCTGCTTTTCTCTGTTGTCAACATCACGTCAATGTTAGTTCAGTGTTTTCTATAATTCTTATTCCATTTCACGGCGAATATGATTGAGACAAAATCATATTCAGCTTAAATCAGTCCAACTTACATAGTAAACCTTCAGTAAAGTACCACACTCCACAAGCTGTAACTCAAGTAGGTACAACTAACCTTTAAAAGAGAGAAAACACTTAAAACTGTTTTCCATTGATGGTTCAGTGGAAAACCTCCTCGTATGATAAAGTTCCCGCCGGGTTAAAACTTAAACTCTTTGGTCTTCTTTTTATCCGCTGGTTAAAAAAACAAACAAACAATTTTTGTGACTAACTTTCTTCCCGCTGGTATACTTTCTGTCCCCTGGTATATTCTTCCTCACTTTCCTGGTTTACCCCCTGAGTCCAACCCCCTAAGGTAGATTTCTAAATATCTCTCCTTTTAACAAAATCTCCCATTCCCCTTTGACCAATTATCTCTCTTGCCCTAAGCGGTTTAGACCTACCTTAAAGTCCCTCTTCCACTGTGGTTAATCACCCTCCCTCCCCCTGTGATTAATCTCCCCCCCCCCCCCCCCCAGGTTAACCCGCTACCCCATTCTCTCACTCCCTCTGAGGTTTATCCTCCCTCCTTCAATTCCCCGGTCGTTAGCCCCCCTCCCTCCCTCCCTTTTTGCTTCTTCCTCCCTCTCCTTCTCCTCCCCCCCCCCCGCTGCCCTTCTGGCCCCCCGTCGCAGCACAGTGCCAGGGTCTGTATCTCGCCTTCCAACCTGCAGACGCTGGCGAGGGCACTGCAGCAGAAGGGCCGCCAAAGGAGACTTGGAATGTTCAAAGCCGTCATCAGAGGGGTTCTCATCCATCTACATATATATCTATTTATTATTATTAATTATTATTATTTTCTGGGATGCTTTATTTGTATTTTTTTCGATACGTAATCTGAGTAGAGAAAACATTGGCTCCGCTGTGGTTTGATAATGGCTTTCATGTGGCAGTAAATAAACTCATTACTTGTGTTTTTTATATTGATTTATTGTTCAAAGCTATAAACGTATTGGTTTGATTGACTTTGCTGTTGTTTGGAGATGGATTTTTGCTCGTAGTGCCGCTGGCTGCCTTGTGTACAGTACATGGGCGAAACACTTTGCTGGAGGAAGCTTACTCTACCTCTTTTGTTTTGGTTCACGTGATCGTTATTCTGACCCGTGGTGTAAGAGCCAGATTTTTTTCTTATTTTCTGATATAATTACTTCAAGTTTTCTTAATGCACAACCCCTTCACCTCCCTCTAAAGTTGGTAGATAATTGAGGATGTTACATTAGTTTTCTTTCCAAGCTGTCGACTGGAATTTGATTATCTTTGCAGAGACACTGGGTAGTATTTCAGGGACTTTATGTAAACAACATTAGCAAAAAGTCTGTGAGAATAATGAGTCTCTCTCTGTCTATCTATCTATATCTATATCTATATCTCTTTCTCTCTCTCTCTCTCTCTCTCTCTCTCTCTCTCTCTCTCTCTCTCTCTCTCAATCTCTTTCTTTCTCCATCCCCTCGTTCTATCTTTCTTACTTCCTCACCATTTCTATCCCCCCTTTCCCTTCCACCTCTTTCTCTTTCTCCCCTCCCTACCTCTAGTTTTTTTTTACATATTCTCCATTCACCCTGTCAAGAATTTCCACATCGGAAACCCCTGTCCATCCCCCAACAGATACGAGAAGCAACGATGTATCACCTGTTCTTTGCAATTCTTTAAAAAGATTTCCATCATTTTCGTTCTCTTTGAAAGTACGAGTTGATCTGCACCAAGACCAGCGCACGCGAGGGCCATGGCTTATATTTCCTGTTCTTGTAGTTCGTCTTTCGATTTATATTTCCTGTTCTTGTAGTTCGTTCTTTCTTTATTTAATTTTTCTTTTTTTCTCTGAGAACAAAATCGAACTGTACAAACTTCTTTCACCTCAGTCCCTGCCCCTTCCGCTCCCCTTACCCTCTATCTCTCTCTAACTCAGTCCCTGTGCGCTGGTCGACCACACTAGATTCATAACGAGGACCTTCCACGCGTCGAAGGCTCCATATCTATGTTTTTTGTTTAAAAAAAAGTATCATCAAATTTTTGGATAGTTCAAAATCACAATGATAATTCCGTGTACTGATAATGGCCTTACACTCATCTGAGGTAGGAAGCCATGTAGTTTCCGTGCATGAGTGTTGTTGGCATTTGCATGACCCGACTGTTTTTGACTGTAAGCATGGGCAGGTTTGTGCAAGAGCATCGTCTGTGAACGGGAGAATGGAATGGGTTTAATTTTATTGTGAAATTTGTCGGATGCGAATACAAATTAACATATATGTAAATAAGATGGATAAGTATAACTATTTATGTTTATTTTTAAGATGAGGTGGTCTGACTATAAAGAAAGAACCCTTTTCATTATCTGCGTTCATAGATACTAACATAAAACTGTTAAACGGCGTTTGCGGCACAATTAAATCTCCTTTTACTTAAAACATCCCGATGAAGAAACCAATAACATCCTAACTGTACTGATTTTTTTTCTTTTTTTTTTTATCTGAAGGACTTTTGTCTGCGCATGTCTGAACTTCCCCTCAATTTAGTCCAGAAGTGGCGCGTATGTTTGCGCACAGTGTTGCCATTCTAGCGATTTTCCCGCTAGGTCTACTAGTTTTTGATCTAGCGGGAAAATGTTCAAAGTTTACTTTATATTTTGCGATTTTTTAAGTCTTTTTCATGTTGTGGCAATGGCAACACTGTTTGTGCATGGTTGGTAGTTAGTGGATGTGTACTTGTGC